TGCACTGAAGTCAACAACACAGATTTTATTTAACAAGCATTGTGAGGTAGAAAGAAAGAAGTAGAAAAGCCAGAGGGGAAAGAGATATAAAGTAGAAGATATTTGTCACCTGTGAATCCAGTAGCTTCCCTCCAGTCCTTAATCACCCTGGGCTTCTTGGTGGTCGGGTTCTTAATATCTTTCAAAACTCTTCACTTACTTATTACGTATTCATTTAAGCAAACGAAGGAATTAATGCTTATTGGCTACACTATTCTCTTATTCTATTGGTCACATGATTATCTCACTTCTAATGATAGCAAGTTCGTGTTCTTTGTTTTTCTCTCCTTTTGAGTTGGTGGGATTCTTGGGTTGGTGGGTTATGAGTCAGTGCTCATGATCTTCCCCTGCAGGAATTATCTTTTATCCAGACAGAGATGATTTCAGCACAGTTGCTGAGTTGGCTTTCCTTGAGGCTCATAAATTCTGCATTCTTTGTGGTCATTATCAGTGATAGATTCTTCTCTTCAAACTTTGTTAACCTCTCCCATGAGATAACACTCAGACAATAGCACCACCTTTATCTTATCTCAAGCTTCTGGTGTGGTGGCTTAATTTACTGTCCAACTTCCAGGTATCCACAGAGGTCTCTTCAGAGGGGCTTCAGTGATTATGGATGCTATTCATACCATAGCTTGGAGCGAGCTTTTTTTGACTAGTTATAAGCCCATGACCAGTTTCTTCTTTGCAGAGTTTACCGCAGTGTGAATTTTTTTCTGGATGCATTGTCCAGGATTTACTACACCAATCTCACCTACACTAGGCCTAGAGTTAGTGCCATCCTGTCACTCCATTCTGTGCTCATCTCATCTCATCTCATCTCATCTCATCTCATCTCATCTCATCTCATCTCATCTCATCTCATCATCTCATCATCTCATCTCATCTCATCCCATGGCAAAGTCCTTCTCCTTAACAGAGGACTTCTCATCTCATCTCATCTCATCTCATCTCATCTCATCTCATCTCATCTCATCTCATCTCATCTCATCTCATCTCATCTCATCTCATCTCATCTCATCTCATCTCATCTCATCTCATCACATCTCATCTCATCTCATCCCATGTCAAAGTCCTTCTCCTTAACAGAGGACTTAACAGTGTTTGAGACAGACAACTGTGTTCTTTAAGGCATTGCACAAGATACAACCAATGAAGTGCCACTTGATTTAATACGTCTTTGGGCTTCAGAGGGTTTTGTCACAAAACACATGAAATTAGTACTCTGTTTCTAAGCCATTGGATTGACTGTTGAATGCCTTTGCCTTATCAAGTTTAAGAGTCCAGTTTAGAAGTCTGATGGTGAACTGGGCTATAAATATACAACTATATCTTTATGAAAGGTATATTCTGCCTCTAAAGATTTTTGTACTAAACTTCTGTAATTGTTCTTTTATCCATGAATGTCAGTGAGATTATAGAAGAGGTTACACTTACAGCTCAAGGAAAGAAAAGATAGGCACTTTGTTTGAAGTCATATCTAAGTGGGCAACTATGCAGTTTGCTCCTAGGGTGTTTCTTTTTCATATATATCCTACTGTGTTCTGCAGGTTAATAATGAGTGTCAATCTATGGGAAACAATATATGTGATAGCCTATACTACTGAAGTGGTACAAATTTTCTCTGATGTCACTTCTGAAGTTTCTGGGCAGAAGCGTATTTTTTATGCATGGATAGACGTTCCTTTGCATGTCTTATCATGTATTGACTTTGATGGGTTGTAGTTTCTGTTATTTACATGTCACTGAAAAATATGGTATTTTAACATAATGTTGCACCTTTTAATGTGTTGACACTAAGTAGAAGGCAATTCATGGTAAATAAGCATTCAACCTTATGTGCAAATCCATTTCACTGCAAAAAAGCAGAAGAAAAATAAAACCAGACCCATCAATCAAATAATAGTTCAGTCTGGGACATGTTGTCCTCTTCTTTCAACTGGAGGTTTAACTGCCAGAGAGAAAAAGAAGCAGTGGACTTCTACAATGTTATCTGAAATAATTCTATAAACAAAATTATGAAGAGAAATGGTGCAGTTTGTCAAAGAAAAATGACAAGAATGATTAAACATAAGTACCACAATAAGTCTGTCCAGGTAGCTAGACTATTAAATATGACTATTTTTTTAATGGAACTTGCATAAAGTCTATATAGTGATTGATTCAAAGTTGCATCATAATGGAAAATAGTAAAAATCAATGTCGAGCAAAATTGAATGGTAACTTAAAAATTATATGGAAGCCATGCTTGTTTGAAAATGAAATGTTGCAAAAATCCATCAGTTCTTTAAGAAGAAATAAAATACAGAGTGCTTTCTTGAGAAAATATAATACACATCAACCATAATTTCCAATACATCATCTATCAAAGGCATTTGTTGGTAATATATCATGGAGATATTAAATTAAAAACTCCATTAGGTTTCAACATACTCAGAAAATGGACAGCTTTGTTAAATATTACCCCAAAACAAGTACTGGGGGTTTGCAGCATATGCAATATAACGTGGCTCCAAATGATTTCTGGCATGCTGAACCAAAATCTGTATTGATAGAGTAGATAGCCTTGGGTTTTGTTTTTACATTTTTATGGGAATACAAACCTCTGAAAATGTGTATTTTAATCCAACCAAGTATTAAAGTATTAAACCAATCTATATACCATACTATTTGAAAAATGGAAGAAACAGCTATAGTTCTTAAAAAAATAATACTGCTATAGAAAGAAAGCTTGTAATATTTAATTCAATAAAGCACTTTCAGGGAAGACTAGTTAAAGAAATATAAATTTACCATCTAATCTTAATGTTACCAAGTTGTTTCAGTGTGACAAGTAAAGTGTTTAGGAACTTGAGTGAACAGTAAAGAAAGTACATTTTAACAGGTATCTGCTACTCTGTATTTAGAGTTTGTGGTTTTTCGTCTTTGGGGATGGTTTGAGAATATTTTGGTTGGCATTTAAGCTTGTGGGATATTATTTTAATTCTGTACTTGCAAAATTTTTGGGTGGAGATTTTGTTGAAATACACATATTAACAGTTTTAGCAAGTAATTCTGAGTTTAGAGAAACTTTATATGTTTCTTGGGATTTGAAATTGTAATAATATTTTGAAATCACAAAGATAATGTGGTATAAAGATGGTGCCAGTTATTTTCCATACTGTCCTCTTTTCACATTCTAGAAGAGTTTCTGTGCTTTCTGTTTTTCTGGCAAACAGATTCAGTATTTGGAAAATTTACAGAATATGATGGAGTGTTCATTGCTTTTAGTCAGTCCCCAAAATGACAAAATGGTTGGAAAGTAAAAAGTGTCACAATAAAATGTGTTTGCCTGCTCTGAATCTGTACTGAGATATATCCATGGTGATGACTCACCAGGACTGTTTTAAGAGTGGGGAGGACATTTTGAAATTATACCTTTGACTTCAAGAACTCTGAACTTCTATTATATTTTTGAAAGATAAACTTCATTGTGTAGTTGTTTGTATAGGACAGCTTCAGTAAACATCCCTGAAAATATTTCTCAAGATGGTAAGATTCTGCAGCTTATAAGGCTATAACTAGAAAAAAAAGAAACAGCAATCAAATAAAACCCACGAAACCCCAAACCAAAAAAGAAACCTACATCCCACAAAAAAACCCCAACAACAGCAAAAAAACCTACACTGCAAAAAAATGAAGCAAAACAAAACAATACAACCATAAACCAGGACAAAACAAAACAAAAACCCCCCAAAAATCCCACAAAAAACGACCATCAAAAAGTCCCTAGAGAAACTAGTTCTGTCACAGCACCGTGCTTTGAATATGAGGATTTTAAATAGCAAGAGTCAAATTAAGACGAAAGTCTGGTAGTATTACAATAAAAAGGAGCTGGGATAGATAATATAAAAAACTCCTGGTTTTAATTATTAATAATTAAAAATAATTTTCAGGGACTCATAATGTATTTTATTACTTTATAATTTTTCATATTTTATCTTTTGCGTGTGTTCTGCTCACCTTGAAAGAGGTAAATGTGTTTGGTTTGAGATTTTTTTTCCTATATTCTAAGGCACCTTCAGGTAAAGGCCAAGGAAAGTTTTTTGCTGCTTTTTTTTCTGTATCATGATCTGTAGAGTTTGATTGTGATGCTGACTAATAATTAGAACCTCAGAAATACAATTTCTATTCTCTAGTAATTTGTTTCTTAACATTTATACTCCTTTGACATTCACTTTAACTAGCTGCATGGTTTTATGAACGCTGGTAGAGTGCATAATTGATTGACTACACAGAGAACTCTATTCAAGACATTAATTTCTTTGACAAGTATATTTTACATTTGTACTTAATCTTCATTGCATTTAGTGTTTATTACATAAAAATAGAATTCCTTTGAAAATTATTTCAGTAAAAATATCTAGTGTAATTATTATATATTTAGTTTGCGGTATGGAAGATGTGTTTTTAAACATCTTTGAAAAATATTGGGCCCAATTATCTGTTGGCTTAGATTGATAGTTTCATTTTCTAATCATGTGCTGGTAATACACTCTAAGTGCACAGTAGAGTTATAGTGAAGGGAATCTTTGTAATTTTGATAGGGGCTATCAAATCTCTGATTTTGAGAATGGTAACATATTAGTTATAAAAATTGTCTTTTGTTACCTCAAAACCAACTAATTTTCTGGTTCCAGACCTGTCATCTAAACCTGTAGGTTTTAAAGAATAAAAATTTCATCCAATCCCCTGATGCTGTTAGAAAGGTGATGAACAATTTGGGGGGTATGCATTTCTGAATTACTTTTTAAATAAAGTGATGACTAACAGATGAGGCTGGAAAATGGCTAAGTAAAAAAAAAAATAAAAATGGATTCTTATCTTCCTAAGTGCTTTTAGAGGAATAAAGATGGTTGATGAATGAAATGTCTTCTTGTATTTGCAAAAAGTAACTAAAATAAACAACCACTTCTTTCTAGCTAAGTAATCTGAAACAACTCACAATTCTGGATGTGTCAGCAAACAAGTTCCATTCTATTCCAATTTGTGTTCTCCGGATGTCTAATTTGCAGTGGTTGGATATTAGCAGCAACAGCCTGAAGGATCTCCCAGAAGACATAGACAGGTAGTTTATGTTTTAATTCAATGACAGGTATAGGAACTCTTAAGTGAATTTAGAAAGTAAAATCTTCCAAGGGACACTGTTGATGGAAATGTATCAGGTATTTTTGCATGCAAATATTTCTGTGATTGATGGACTGGGTCTGAGAACAAAAGTTAATTTTACTAGCACATTGATGGTGGTCAGTTAACAAAACATTTTTTTTGCTGCTTTCATAATAATTTGTTATTTTATCTAGACATTGGTTTTTTGGGAAGTTTACTGGATATACTCTGCTCCAGTTCCATCACAGGGAACTCACCATATGGAATTGGCAGCAGTAACTCTCTGGAGGGTAGATGGGGAGGAGAAGGTGAACTAAAGCATACTTAAGTAACTCAAAGAGCCTGATAAACTTTATTAGTAAAGAAGAAAAGTATTGGTAAAATTAAAAACCCCATTGAAAATCCTCCCCTTCTACTCTAAAGTAAGTACGAATGTGTGCACTCATTCTCCCAGTTTAGATAACCACTTTGAGTTAGTTTTTAAAAAATAATTCTGATCCCTTTAACGGGACTTGCTGCCTGAGAAAGCACTTTTTTATCCCTAAGCTTAACTATTCACTCCAGAGTGCTGCAGCAACTTGGTTTATGAAACTTTACTTAGCCTTAAGTGAAAAAAACCAAAACATATTAACTGAAGTTTATTAAAAAATATTCAAGATTATTTATTTATCTGAGAATAGAAATCCCTGAGGCAGAATAAACTTCACAGGAACCTCATTCACTCCTAACTTTCGCAAGGCCTTTTTTGCTGGGCAAAAAGACTTTTCTGGGACATGGTGTAATCACAGATTATTCTGACAGCAGCACTGCTCTTGACTTGTGTTAGTAATTCACAGCAAACAACATAAGCTTACCGTTTTTTTCCCAGGGGATCTGACCAGAGATTTAACTAACTTCAAAGAGTTCCTAAGAGGATATTTTTCTTTTAAGGAAGGATACCCTTTCAACTTGTAGAACTTTTTTTCCCCTATAACCTATATTCCCTTAGCTTCAAATTATTCCCTTTTTACATTTTATCCTCTCTATTTTGTACTGAGTTGCCAGATTTGATGCTAGAATATTATCATCAGACAATAAAAAATAAGGTTTTCTTTGTTTGACTTTGGGCTCAGAAGACTAAAAAATGTCAAGATAACCCCCGAATCAGTAAATTAATACTCTCATTCAGACTTATGATTTCAATGCCTGTGGTGTCAAAGAACCTCTGTGAATTATAATTGTCTGTAATATCATTACGATAGTCTGTAATTAATAAAGATGAGTTGACAGTAAACTGAAGCCTTACTTAATATTTTCACCTGAATTCAAACAAACCGCATGGGCCTGATAAGCATAGCCTGCCAACAGTGTTTTAGGAATGGACTCTCCCAGTCAAATAAGACAAATTTGTTTCATCAATTTGCTATGCTCTTTGTCTTCTACCTAATAGAAGGAATAAAGGCACAGACACAAATTTCTATTGCATTAGGAAAAGCCAGGGGAAATAAAACAAAAGTTCCTCACAAAACACTGTCATTAAATTGATTTCATTGGGACAACTTGCAAGAACCTTTTGACGAGGAGCTGGTCTTTCTCTTGCTCCCCACAGTATTAATTACTAGTGGAGAGTAGAGATGGAGATGTACTGCCTACCACAGACATACCTAATTCATAGAAACTAGCATATGGGCAAAAGTGTGACCTGCTGGCCTGTATTTTTCATTAGTTGCAGCATGCATATGGTGAGGCTTTATATCATATTCTGTTCACATTTTCTGTATGAAAACACATTAAATTTTGTAACCTTTTATCTTGAGCCTGCTTCTGATTACTTGCCAGAGGTATGCTATTAATACTATAATGCTGACCCAGTACTGAAGATTTCCATTAAAGTTGATGAAATTTTGTGAAAGTAGTGTTTGAGCAACTTTTTAAGACAAAGATGTTGCATGCAATTCCTCTTATTATACACAACATCAAGTCAGTATTACTATCTTGGCTAGATGTTGCTGTTTGAAATAAATAACTTACGACATCTCTATCTTTGACATCTTTACAGGTTAGATGAATTGCAGACGCTCCTCCTACAGAAAAACAAGTTGACTTATCTTCCACGAGCTCTTGTCAATATGCCAAAGCTCAGTTTGCTAGTTGTCAGTGGTGATGACCTGGTTGAGATACCCACAGCCATCTGTGAGTCAACCACAGGTTTAAAGTAAGTAAAAGAGCGAGAGAAAGGGAAATATTCTTAAGAAAATAAGGTAAGATACACCCAGAAGAAAGGCTTTCACCAGCATGTTTCTAGAAATTCTGACCTAATTTATATCAGAGTGATAAAGGAGGCACTAAAAAGATTGGAAATTACAGAGGATCTGCATTTTCATGATTTTCATCTACCAGTTACCCACATTGTGCATCTCTATGTCTAAACTGATATTCCTGGGTAGACTTGGTCATAGCAGCTCTAACTCTGGAGTTGCAAAAGCATGCTTCAGAGTGGGACTAGTAGCCTGGAATCTAGCTGCTAATAACCTCTGTGATGACAAAAGCATCTTGCTGGGAGAGGGAGACATGGCTAGGGAAATGTTAGGTAAGGTCACAGTAGTTCTTTGCTGTAAAATGCCACCTTACTGCTGCATGCAGGATAAGACTAAAAGAACTAAATTGTAGTCTGCAGTTACAGAGATATTGCATTTCTGCAGAAAATGTTCATGTTTTTGATTATGGAACCATTTCAGACTCTATAGTTGGTCTGGCTCAGAGTGGAGTTAGCTGAGGATGAAATTACCTTTCCCCTCTTAGAGCTATTCCTTGCACTGGTAGCTAGAAAGGTGTTGATAACACATCAGTGTTTTTAGCAGTTGCTAAACAGTGGTGGCACATCATTAAGGCTGTCTCTCCAACTGTTCCCTAAGAAAGCACTGTAAGCTGAGCCAGAGGCTGGGAGGGGAAACAGCCTGGACAGCTGGGGACACCAGCCAGAACAGTTGACTCCAATTGGCCAGTCGGATGTTTTCATACCATATGGTGTCTTGCTCAGTATATAAAGCTGAAAGGAAGAGGGGTGGCGGATCATGTGTTATTGAAGTTTTTGTCTTCCAAAGAAACCAGCTACATATACTGAGTCTCTGCTTCCCAGGAAGTAGCTAAACACTACCTGTTGAAAAGTAGAGAGTAATTTTTCTGCTTTGCTTTGCTTTTCTTCTATATAGGTTTTACTTTTTTCATTAAGCTTATCTACATTTTTTTCATTTGCTATTCCCCCTTGCCTAGTTGAAGAGAGGGGCAGAGAGAGGTGTTTGGTGGGTACCTGGGCCAAACAAGTCAGCTGATCACAAACTTACAACAATTCATCAGAATTTTAGAAAACCATATGATTTGTTGGAACATTTGTTCTTTTGAAAGTAACAACTTTTAAATTATTTTTTCCTTCTTGGAGTGAAAATCAGAGATTTTCAGAATGCTATACACTTATTTGCACATTATATAAGTTGTTTATGTAGCCACTTAGTTTTTCTTCTGCAAAGTGTACCTTCATAATATTTTCAATTTCAAAGTAACGCATGCCCTGTCATGTATTGTAAAAGATGAATAATGCAATAACCAAAAAATGGAGGCACATATTGCAGCTAAAAGATTCTGGCAAAATTCCAGATTGCTAGGCAATATTGCTGGGATGAATTTCGTATTGCTCATTAACAGATGGGGAAATTACAGTATAGTTGGTCAGAAGCTCCATAATAATAGCTATACCTGTTATTACAAAGAATGATTTATGTAGATAGATGGAAAAAAGATAAACCTGACAATTTTTATATGGCAAGTGGATTATAGAGAAAGTTCCTTTTGAAATCTGTATTTCTATAGTAGATGTATCCTAACTATGCCATACTGCAAAATTGAGCTAACGTTCTTTACATTTCTGCTTCTGGCTCTGGTAGCAATTTCTAAACTGTCATTCATGATGGCCAGTGATGTTCAGCTACCTGCACATACATTTGTGTGTTAATCTCTGTCTAGATTTGTAAGTCTCAAGGACAGTCCTGTTGAAACGATTGTATGTGAAGACACTGAAGAAATTGTAGAAAATGAACGTGAACGTGAGCAAGTTGAGAAAGAGTTTATGAAAGCATACATTGAAGACCTAAGGGAAAGGGGTATGTGTAAATTTGCAGTAACCTTTCTTCTGTCTTGAATATAGATGCAGACAGATATTGTGACCATTCGTTTTTAAGAGGAAAAGTAATACACCATTAAACACTGGTTGTCTTTTATGGTATTAAATGAGACTAATAATGACATGCCCAATCTGCTTTGTTAAAAGTTTGGACCCTAATTAAGACCACAGATATTGAAAAAATGTATACAAAATTAATTGTGTGGTATATTCCTTAATCTCAAATAATTAATGGTGTACAGAAAGAATATTCTCATTCTCCAGATTTATTTACTTCTCTTGGGATTAGTATTAGTGATTTTGAATTCCTGAAGAAATGCTTCTCCTCCTCAAAAAGATCAGTATATATATGAAAGCCTCATTGTATTGGTAGAATATTCTTTGGCAATGTTATCAGCTTCAAGGTACTAACTATTTAACTACTGTACAATTATAGTAAAATACAAGCATTTATCTTTATTACATAGCACGAACAACTTTACACATTTCTTCATGTTGCCGTTCTGTTTTATATTTACCATCATAGAGAAATCCTTGTTCTCTTGAGTATTCTTTAATAAGATTCGTAAGGAAAAAAGAGGAAAGTTTCCTGTGCGACAGGGTACCCCACAGGCTCATTTTAATTCCTTTAATATTTTGTGTGTAGAAAGGACTTTTTGTGGAATGAATCTTACAGTAGATTTTCATTCCTTGTGTTTAATTTAAGTGGTCTAAATAGTGGTCCTACAAAATCTGTTAAAAGAGAAATATAAAGAAAGGGTGTGACTTCACAATATGTTTCATGTTCTCATGCTGGATTTCTGTTCCTTAACATCTATAAGTTGTGGATATGAATATTCATCCTGTCTATTTCTAAACTGAAGTCTGCAATAAAAGTGCTGGATTTTGATAATGGTAACAATGGTGGTTAAAATGGAGAGAATAATGCAATGGAGGAAAAATTTGGGTGATAATTTGGCTTTAGAGACAGCCATAAAATATGTAGTGATGAAGTTGTGTCTAGAGTCAGGAAATGTAGAGGTCTGACAGGCTGTCTGAAACCTGCATTAGACCCTATTGAGAATAGGCCAGGTTTATGCTCTTGTGGGGCAAAGCTGCTCAGAGATACAGTTCTCTCCTTCTAGACAGAACTTACTTCACTGTTTTTTATGAAGAGTTTGAATCATTAATCACTTTTGTATTTCCTGCTTCTGAACTTTTGTGCTACAGATAATGCCAATACCTGCTTTTGAAAAGCAGACTGTAGAAGGAATATCTTCTATAAAATATGAACTGGCAGAAACTCTGAAAGACAGCACAGAGATAATTTGTAGAGTACCTTTGAAACAAGACCAAATCCAGCTGTTTCTAGCTAAGGGCTTCATTTATTTGTGCTGGATTACATAGCTAAAGTCTGAGATTTATTTCTTTTTTCTCTTTTTGCAGAGTCTACTCCTTCCTACACTACAAAAGTAATGCTCAGTCTCCAGCTCTGAAGATTAAAAATCTCTAGATCTCTACTGAATATCTGAATAACTCTCTTTTTATACACCTGAATAGTAAACACATGAAAATATAGATGGCCAGAATGACATCAAAATCACATTGAATTATTTATTTGTTTTCTGTAGGCTTTTCAAGTAACTACAGATAAAACAAGGAGTGGTAGAACATTCATAAGATGCTGTTTCACATTTTAAGTCAACATGTTTATTTTCAAGTTCACAGCAACAGCCACTAATTTGCATGCAGACCCTCTGAAAGTAAAATTCACTGTAACTAAGTATACACAGGCATAGCTGAAGAATGAAGACATTGTATGTTGTAGCTGGAACAGCGAAATGCAAAATATGATCTTCGGAAGAGATTTGATTTTATAAAAGGGGATAAACTGATTTAGAAAATGAATGTGATCTGTTGTTAAGACCAAATACACATTTAGGTATTTACAATATTGAAATTAGAACACACTTGTAGTTTGCTTTTCTGCAGGAAAATTATTCTTGGGATTTTCAGTTTAGATAAGTTTCAACAACTTTACATATAGAAGCCGTAGCACTTCTTTTATTCAAGCATATTTTAAGCTCTAACCTCTTTGCAAAACCAAGTACCAATGTGACTGAGATTTCTGCGCTATGCAGTCTTGTAGTATAGTTGTATACTATGTAAGATTTTAAGGCACTTAGTGGTGTCAGCTAATACTATCAGCAAAATGATGATACAGGTATTATATTAATGGTTTCAGATCACAGGATTTTGTGGACATTTGTTGGAATTTTCCAAGTAGTGTAAGAATGAGTTTGCTGCTAAAACATTATTTTGCTTGCTATTTAATTATCTGTTTATATATAATTATTTAAGTGTATATCAAGTAGAGTTTCAGAAACCTAGTTTTACATGTATTTTTGTTTAATAAAGCAATCTTTTTAATCTAAAAAACTTGAGACTTTGAGAATTGAGAATCAAATTAGATTCAAATTATAGAATTTAAATGGTCCTGAACTTATGAGTGCAGTTAAGTGAGATAATATTTACATCTTTCTTTTTCATTATGGGTGATCTGTTTTCAGTTTTGTGCAGTAGCATGTCACTTAAGTAGCCATATTTAAAACACAAAGCAATGAAGGATATGCTCCTCTGGCTTTCATATAGAAAAAGAACTTTAGATGTCTTCTTTTCAATATTCTAGTATTCAAATTTTAAAAGAAAAAAACATTTTAAATAGTGGGTGTGTTATTTCCACTTGCAGTCTTCTTTATATTACTATCAAAATGAAACCCATTCAAAATGGTCTCTATATGTTAATGCAGATTTTAAGCAAGTTCTGATCCAGGGGGAAGTTAAAAAAAATTAGAAAAATTGGCATTGATCTGAAGCAGAATAATAGAAGACATTTTTTTTATCATTAAGGACAAATTGAAATAGGATAAAGTAGTGTCAAATTAGTCTCAGAGAGTTCAGGCTATGTGAAACTATCCTACCACACTTTCTTTTATTGAGATTATAAATTTATTTTATTGATATTGATATAATAAACTTCTGTAAGACATCTGATATTGGTTGAAATTCTATTTCTAAAATCTCTCATAGTCTAATATGATCCACTGAAAATTATAGGAATGGAAATCACAAAGGCTGTATTTATAGAATGGAGCTGCAACTACAAAAAACTAGGGATGCAAACACAGATAACAAAACAAAAGTGCCAGTGCAAATTCTACTATCAGCAGTACTGGATATATAAACAGAAAGCACATGAATAGAGAAGTCATATTAGTCCTTAGCATTGCTGTTAATCTTATTCAAAATTTTTTTCTATTCACAGATAAGACTGATAAAAATAATTTGGAGACAGAAACAAAAAATTAGCATAAATAAAATCCATGCATTTTTAAGTTCATTGAACAGCATTGTTCTCAAGTCCATTTGCTTGTCAATATTTATAAATGCAAGGCCACTGTCTAGAAGCAGGACATTTTAATGCAGCAGGCAAACATAAGGCAGAAGACTAAAACTTGAATTCACATATCTGAATTAGAAAAAAAAAAGGTCTGTTTTTCCATAAAAGGAACCATGAGATTATTTATAAAATACAAATTCTCAATCACCAGCAATATTTAAGTTCAGGTTAACATGTTCTTAAAAAAAAAAAAATCTGTAACAATTAAGTCATGGAAAATGCAAATACAGGAGGTCCAAATAGTATTCTCCAACTTGACTTCAGACACCTTTCAATCCAATTTTCATGGAATCACAGACTGATTTCAGTTGGAAGGGACATTCAAAGGTCATCTATCCCAATCATTCTCTCATAGACAGGGATGTCTTTCATTAGATTGGGTTTTTCAAAGCCCCGTCTAAGCTGACTGTGAATATTTCCCTTGATGGGGCACCCAAAACATCAAGTGACTCTCCAGTCTTGTCACAGAGAATTTCTTCCTCAGATCCAATCTAAGACTAAAGCTACCCTATTTCAGTTTCTTACTGAAACTTATCCTTTGTCCTGTCACTTAAAATCCTGCTAAAAATATCTTTCTCTAATGTTCTCATAAGCTTATTTATATTGAGTAGCTGCAATAAGACTTCTTTTCTCCAGGCGGAACATCCTCAACTCTCTCTGCCTTTCCTCAAAGGAGAGGTATTTCAGCTCTTTCCTCAAAGAAGAGGTGTTTCAGTGATTTTTGTAGCCCTCTTCTGGATCTACTCTAACAGGGTACTCTAACATCTTCCTTTTGCTGAGAATGATGCAGTACTTCAGGCAGAGTCACAGAAGAGTAGAATAGAGACTCACCTCCCTCAGTCTGCTGGCCTGGCTCTTTTTCTTGCACGTAAGGCTGGTTTTCTGGGCTGCAAGAACACATAATAAGCTCATGGTCTATTCTACATTCATTAGTATCCCCAAGTCCTCCACAGGGCTGAAAACTTTTATTCCTACCTCTCCTAGAACATTTCTTCCTGAAATGTTATCCATAGATAAGAATTTTTTTGTCACTGTTGTTAACAGAATTTGTGAAATACCTTTGTTTTAAGGGGAAGATGGAGTATGATGGTCTCCATTACACTTAAGATGTGCAGTGGGTAAAGCCAGCTGCCACCTGTTACTGAAATACCTAATTTCAGCATTATTCCATTTAAGTCATACTTCCATGTCCTTTGCATATTTATCATATGATGTTAAATATAACTTTATCAGAGTCCTCCACTGTAGTAAAAAAATATGCATATCTAAAGGTACTTAATTTTTAATTAGATCTAATTGTACTGCTTTTCTAACTGTTTTACTAGCAAGTATACTTTAAACTATTATCTTTCATTAGGAAACAATACTACGAAAGAGAATTCTGTTATTGGCATGTTTAATATTTTTTCAATTTTTGAAAGTGAATAATTTTATGAACAACAGCAATTCTGTGTACAATGGCAATTTATGTTATTTACAAGCTTCTGGTGCCAGATACTTAGATACCTTAAGGAAAACAATGTGCTTTTTCTTCCACACTGCATTTTCTACAGCTGCCAAACACGACACCTCCTAAAACTCAACACTTTTTTCTACTTTACAGGTAACTGCTATTTCAAAGCAGCAAGACTAGGAGGAGTTGAAATGCGTCTTCTAGAATACTCATGGGCTCAATGTGCAAAAGTAAATCAGAAAATCATTTTTGATTTTGTTTCTTTTCATTATTGTATATTGTGGCCTTTTTTCTAAGGATAGCCAGGAAGACAAACTTATAAGGATAGCAAATAACCTCATATTTAATTAATGAATGTCTAGGAATAACATAATCTAGCATCAGATATTGGCTTAGTTTACAGTTAACACTGTACAATACATTCTTTTCCCACCCCCACCTCTTGAGCATTTATGAAACATCAGAATTGATTTACTGTGTTTACTTTCTGCAATGGAAGCACCAAGAAAAATAAAAAATCGAATGGTCTTTTCTTGAGGAGGTAGGCTCTAGGTCCTGGTTTGTGCAAGATTTCATAGAATCATAGAATGGCTTGGTTAGGAAAAGACCTTGTAGATCACCTAGTTTCACCTCCCTCTGCCATGGGAAGGGACAATTTCCACTTGACCTGGCTGCTTAAAGCTCTACCCAGCCTGGCACTGAACACTTTCTCTGAACACAATTTCTCTGTTCCAGTGACTCATTACACTCTGAGTAAAGAATTTCTTCTAATGTTTAATTTAATTCTGATATAAATTTTAAAATGGTTCCCCATTTGACCTAAAACCATCAGATTGCATTAAAAATAACTTTCCCTCTTTAAGTCCTGTTATTATAGTGGAAGTTTGCCATAAGATCTCACCAAAATCTTCTGTTCTCCAGGCTGCACAAACCCAGCTGTCTCAGCCTGTCTTCATAGAAGACAACCCTCTACTTGTTTTTGGTCCTCCCAACAGGTCCACATCTTTGTTGTGGTGAAGACCCCAGAGCTGGATGCGACATTCCATGTGGTTTCTCACGAGGACAAGGCAGAGGGAGAAAATCACGTCCTCCAACCTGTTGGACGTGCTGAGTTTGATGCAGCTCAGGACACAGTTGTTTTTTTCTAGGCTGTGAGTTCATGTTATTTACTCATGTCCTGTATTTCATTCACCATAACGCCCAAGTCCTCATCAGGATTGCTCTCAATGACTTCTCCATCTGTGTTCACATCTGGGATTGCCCTGACCCAGGTGCATCACCTTGCACTTCACCCTGTTGAATCTCATGAGGTTCCCATGGGCACACTTCTCAAGATTGTCCTGGTCCTTCTGGATGGTATCTCATTCTTCAGATGTGCCAACAATTCCACTCAGCTTTGTTTCATCCACACGCTTGCTGAGGTAGAACTTGGCCTCACTGTAATTGAGACAGACATTGAAGAGCACTGGTCTCAGCAGAGAGCTCTGAGGAACATCTCTAGTCATCAGTTCCACCTGGACATTGACTTCAATTCTGTGGATGTGTCTGTCCAGCAAATTCTTACCTACTAAGCAGTCCAACTTCAAATTCATGTCCAATTCAAAGACAGCTGGTCTTCATTTGGAGATAAGGATGTTGTGTGGAACAGTGTCAGATGCCAGGGAGAAGTCTAGATAGATGACATTGGTCAGTCTTTTTTTGCCAACCATTGCAGTTGCTCCATTACAAAAAGCCACCGGTTTGGCCAGGCTAAATTTGCCCTTAGTGTTGTGGTTATAGAAAAAAAGGGATGTGGTTTCTGGGGCTGTTCAACTCCATACTGCCCACATTATTGTGGAGCCTTGGTTCAGCTTTCTTTTAATGACTTGAGGGCTTGAGGGAGGGGGTGTGGAGTTTGCAGGGTCAGCCCAGTTCATCCAACCCCTCTCTGCTACCGGCAGTCCTTGTGCTGGCTGCCTCAGATCACTTTCTTGTCTTTCATGTGCCTTAAAACATGTTCTAGGAGGATCTGCTGCATGATCTTCCCAGGCACAGAAGTGAGACTCCCCAATCTGCAATTCTCTGTGTCTTCTTTTCTCCCCTTTTTAAAAATAGGAGTGATGGTTCTCTTTTTTCCAAGCACTGGAGATTTCACCTGTTCGCTATGACTCTTCACATAGGATGGAGAAGCACTTGGCAATAGCATCATCACTCAGGATTCCAGATGCATGTCATCAGGTCCTCTAAAACTTGTGATTATTCAGCTTCACCAAGTGATCTCAAGCCTGCTTTTCATTGACAGTAGGAGAGAACTCACTCCCCCATCCCACTTAGATGTTCAGTGACTTAAGAGACATGGGATGTCTGGTGATGGGAGAGGGTTGAAGCAAAGAGCTTTTTTTTGGGTACTACATTCTTCTCCATACCTGCTGATATCAGATTTCCATTCTCATCTACCAGAGATGGGAGTACACTCTTCTTGGAATTTATTTTCTGGCCTACATAGATATAACCCCTTCTGCACTGGAGATCTCTTCTTTCTCATGATTTACAGGTATTTCCTTGTTGTTTCCTGGAAGTGCTGTTGTTTCCTTGTTCCTCTCTGACACTTGGAAATATATATCTTTCCCTTGCTGAGTATGGTTTAAAGCTCTGCCAAGAAGTCCAGCCAGTTCTTTCCTAGAACATGCTCATCTCAACCAGTCAGGTGAGCCCCATTGACTGTCTGCTGTTTCTCAAGGGTGCATCCTAGATCATAGAAGCCAAAACCTTGAGCATGGTATCAGCCATGCAGTCAACCATTCCCTTGATCCATTCATCTTCTTTCTGTGTCCCCAGTCTCCAGCTAGGGATTTACCCATGGTTCTGGTCCCTTCAACATCTCCCTGAAGGATGTGAAGCCCCTTTTGATACTTTGCAAACTCTTTGCTGCAGCCTAATTTGGCTCTGTGTGGAAGAGTAGGAGTGCATGGTAGTCCTCTGGTTTTATGAGGTGGGGCAGCCTCTTTGTGTCTTTGGGAATGTGAGCCCCCAGTACACAGTAAACCTCTCAAGAGAGGTCCAGATGGCAAATGGGTACTTCAGCAGCTCTCAGTGAGAAATCAGCAATTACTAGCAATGTTCATGCTTTTTTGGTGTCACTTTCTGCAGAGATTAGCTCCTGCTTTATAACGGATAGGAGGAGGTTGGAAAGTAAAGGTTTTTCTCCTGATTTTGAGACCTCATTTGAACTGGTCCTCATAAATAGAACTGTAACTCAGCAGAACTCTGGCTCTGTACTTCCAGAGTAACTACTGTACATTGAGCAATTCAGGAAGAGTCTCCTCTCTTTTCAATAGCTGAATCTGCTACTTGGGCTGATTCCAGCTGTGACTACATTCTCTACTACAGCTTGCTCTCTTCTTCACTTCACTGGTCCATTAACAGCTCTGGTATTGCTGAGTGTAAATAGGTGATTTGCATGGTGTTTTCATTATCTGCTGACTGTCATTAATATGAAAGGATCATTGCTGCCTCTTACTACTCCCTGCAACTTGCTGTTTTCTTGTCAGCTGCACCATAACTACTCTAGTATGCAGTATGTAACAACAGAAGGTTTAGCAAAATCTTAGTAAAGATGCTTTTTATATCTAAAATGCTATTGTATCTTAAACATATTGCCTTGGCTATGTTCGGAATTTCTATTTTTCACTAATGCTTCCAGCCTTTTCCTAAAATCAACAGTGACATTTATAAAGTAATTAAATTGGCTGTCAAATCCTGGTGAATAGATCTATAAAGAAGAATATCATCTTAGAGAACTGAAAACCAGTTTTAGCCTATACACGAACAATATTTGAGTTCAAATTTGCATATACAACATTGCATTTTCTTTTTCATTTGTTACATAAGTTCAGTCAATTTGTAGCACAGTCACCCTTTGAGCCTGTGTATTATGTAATGACATAAAACAATACATTTGCAAAAACCAATTTGTTACACAGTAGGGCTATAAATTGATAAAATATTATTCAGTGTTTCATTCTTATTCAATGTTTGCTGATTTTTTGTAGTTGTGGTATCTACACAACTTTCTGTCAAGATAAATATTTGAAAATAAGTTGATCCCAAGCTTGTGGTGCTGCCCTGGCCCCAGAGAAGTATGCCAGGTCATCTGTTTGCTCTGAAAGCATTCAGAGAAGGTGAGTTCAGTGGTCACATATTGGCCACTTTAGGAAGCACTACTGAAAACACTTGATAAAAACAGCCAACTAAAGGAGATTAAGCCGTTATTTAAGGGAAAAAGAAAAAAGAGTGATTTTGTTTTTAGTTTTTAAAGACATCAGTATTGCCAGGTTTACTTTCGCTATAGCTAAGGAAGCTGTCTGTCAAAGGGTACATTGGCATATCATGGTACATCATGATTCAGGAATGAAAGTATAAAGAAAGCAATAGTATTTTAATTGCATTGAAGTGATCTTTGATGACACCTTGATATGGATAAAAAGATATATATCTGCTTTTATGCTACAAGTATGCCTTGTATATATTAGGAAGTCTTCCTATAAGAAAGGCTTCTGCTCAGAAGATGTCCCAGGTTGCTTTTCCCCTTTGGACTAGCTGAAGAATATATTTTATTAAGCCGAAATACTTAGGGCTTTCAGTTTCAGAAAAATGGAAAAAGACCTCAGGATTCTGTTTCCTGTGTTTTGTAGTACTCCTCTTTTTGTCATTAGTATTACAAGGTTTTACAGTAAAGGTAGACACTTTTCCACCATTGGATTGGTGTCCTTGGATGCTACAGTTTTGTTAGAGGTGTTTGCTTTTGATGTAGAAAAAAAATACAAGTGGCTTTTTCTGTGTTTAAGATCAAATCGGAATAAGAGTAGCTCTAAGAAGCTCACGTCAATAAGTATACTAGTTTTAAACATACAATACCAAGTGAAGGTGAGACGAGTTTCAGATGAAATCTCTGAAGTCACCAGTAAGGTATCTTGGTCAGAGTTTGACAGTAATTTCTTTTTCTAGTGTTGTGTTTGCATAATTTGTTCTTCATATTGCTTTTGGTCCCCTCAGGGAACTCAAGTGGATTAAATTTCTTGGGTGTTTTAATTCTAGTAAATTCTCTGTCTGTTTGACTGTTTCTACTATCACAAAGGGGTTTAGTAAAGCATTTCCTTTGAAATAAATGTTCACCAAACTACAGCCTTGCTCATTAGTAAGTAGCTTGTGGAGAAGTTGTAGGTTATCCATTGTAGGTTATTCAGTTGTTGGCTCCTGACATTTTCTGATCCATTTAAGATCAATGTAGCAGATACACATGGGAAGTGCTGCTGTGAGCTATCAGAATAACAGTTGTAAGTGGCACCTCTGTAATATTGGAATAAGAATGAACTCTGGAAAAAAATCTGTCAGCCATGTTTGTGATACTTAAGTATTGCATTTTATATGCAATCTTCTGGGAATTGCAGTCCATTCCTTGTGCTCTGTGCAGTTACTAATTTCAACAGTTTTCATATCTGGCTGATGGTTTTAATTTCCTTCCTCAAAAGCTCCCAGTGAATTTTTTATAATATATTTCTATATTTTATTTGAAAACCATATAGACATAAAAATATCAGAAACAAAGTAAACCCAAGACATATTAACCACTGACTGAGAATTCACTGATTATTACAATTTTTATTTTGGAGAGAGATCAACATTTCTGGACAAGTTTTCCATTGGAATTTTTAATTTAACCAAGCCATATTTAAAGGGAAAGATTATTTAAAGGGAAAACTGGTAACTACTATTGTATTTTCAATATTTTAAAACAATAAATTTAATTATCTGTACAGCATCAAGGATCAGCTGATTAGAAGGAAACACTGATGTATATGCACTTTGGTTCAATATGGTTCAATATGGTTCAATGTGTTATTGCAATCTAAAGTGCAAGGCTCAGTTTTTTAAGGCCTTTCAGTTTTGTGGCATTTTTCTCCTATTTAATTTTCTAAATTTCTAGGAGGCAATATGAGGTATTTTCAGGATAAATAGTGTGAATGGAGGAAAAAGCTTGAGGCTTTAGGAAAGACAAAGTCCAAAAATATTACAAAACAGATTTCTCTAGGTGTTTCTGAATTACATGAATAGTCTTCTATTGTCTGAGAGGCATGATTGTAGACTTGAGAAGTTTGGAAAGGTTTTAATTTATATTGCTGCATGGATCTTAAGCTTCAAACTTTTCACTTGTTTTTTGGTCAGTTGTTGTTTTATGTGACTGTAAATTTAGAGAGAATAGTTGCATGGTACATCAGAGAGGAGTTTTGGAAAGTATCAGAAATGTACATCTTCAGCCAGGAATACCTATTAATTTCAAAATGTATTGTGACTTCTATTCCCTCTCTGCTAATGTTGATAATGTTTATGTTGTTAATGTTATATGCTAATGTTATGCTAATGTTAATGTTGTTAATGTTATAAACAGGTTTATTTTTCCATGTCTGAAGGGTTTTCAGACTGTACCAGAATACCTCAAGAAGCTTTTTAATTTCAAAGGTACTGGAATTTGTGTGGGGGTTATGCACTTCTTCCTCCCTATAATTGCTCTGGCTATCTTGTCAAATTGTTATTTAGAAATTGATTCTCTCCAGAGTCATGTCTGATGTAGGTCTTTTGAAGCGTGAGCACAATTTTTATCTAAACTGCAAATAGAGGCAGTTTTAATGGAAACTAAACCAAACAGTAACAGAACAAAATCAACAGATTAAGGAAGACTAGGTTAGTACTGCATAATTTGAAATTGTGTTCACTATTACAGTCAAGGTTACTTCTTATCAAACACCTTTATCAAGTATGATTTGTCCTTGTTTTACCTTTTTTCATGTCTCATTATAAATTTCATCCTTATATTTTATTACTTATGTATTATGCAGCTTTAAAATAGATTTGTATTTAAGAACCTACTTTTTGTCTTCATTCTGACCAAAAGGGGCATTCTGGGAGCCTGCATCCAGATACAGCAACAACTGTGGCAAAAAGCAATGTACAGACGACCAATAAGAATTTAGCTTTATCTGTCTATTCCCGCAGGTAAAATTAGCATCTGTTGGCAAAAAAATAAGGACTGACTCTCTAGCAGAAATCCTGTAATGCAGGGACAATACAGGCTGTAGGACTTTTTTTGGTTTCGAGAGAGATGGTAAACAGGGTAGTATTTCGTAGTCACAGAGATTGTCTCTTTAAGGTAAAAAAGACCATATGCTGTCTGCTCTAGTCCATGTAGCTCTAAGTTCAGTGTGAAAGAGTTTTATTAATTTATCATTTACCAGTGGTCTATAAAAAAAGTATGCCTTCAAACTCGTATGAGCTTGACTTCCTGAAGTTTTACAAAGATTTCTAGCCAAAAGATTTATCTGCTCCTCATATGTGTCCCTTCAAGATACAAATTAGCCATCTCTCTTTCAAAAAAATCTACATATTAAGAAGTACTACATTGTGGGAAGCAGGAGGTAATTTTTCTGAATCTCTGTGGTCCTCTGTTTGTGGGAAAGAAATTTTCATTTTAGAGAGGCTGTACTTTTACATAGAAAGCACAGCAATTACACCTGTTGGTAGAAAGTGACATGGCTTAGTATTGTTCTGTCTTTTGTAATGTGAGTAGGAAATTTACTATTGTAGCCATGTCACACATACAGACATGGAGTGAGGAGTCTAAAAGTAAGTGCAAGGCAATTTCCAGCTCAGCCAGATGCAAACTACTCCTAGTTTGTAGGGCACATGGGGGGCCATAGAGGCTGTCTGTAAGGGCAGATAGTGAGACAAGTGTTGTATGTGGAAGATTTTTGTGGTGACAAGCAAGCTACCAACGCATATGTCTTCTGTCTGACAGCAGAGTGCTGAAGAAGTGGCAGCTAAGTGCAGGGGAGACTTGCTTTTCGTCTGGTTGAGATTCTTAGTGTGACATATTTTTGGCACCACAACCGGTATGAACAAAGAAGAGGCTCAGGTAGCTGGAGCTGACAGATGCTGTCAAATATGGGACACAGGTAGCAGCCTCCAGCCCCTTCTCCCTACTCTTACTGTATACCTTGATTTTATTCTAAACCCTGGGAGAATCTGGCTAACTGTTCCCACACAAATCCCCACATTCACAGAGCCCAGCTCCCACCCATCCAACAATCTTAAATTCTCTTATTTAACCTTGCTTGCTGTGCTCTGCAAAATGCAGTGATAGTAGGGCAAGCTGTGGACAGCACCTTGGTTCATTGGCATTTCTTGTCCTTTCCTTGCCTGGCTGGAGAAAAGATGCATGCCCAGGATTGGCATGCAGCTGCTGAAAGGGGCTGTCCAGCACAAATGCTACATGTATCGCTGTTTGCCTTATCCTGGGGATTGGTGTTAGGGCCTAGAGGCACAACAACATGTGTTACACCTTTCTGTTAGTCCCATTTCACAACCACTTTAGAGAGACTTTAATAAAATTATTAGGAATCATAAGTATACTTTAGAATACAAAGATTTTGCTCCCAAGTTTTAGTGCTTCTGAAGATTACTGTAATATCTAGCACTTTAATATAAAGCCTTGCTGTACATTAGATGTAGAAAGGTTTATTAGAAGGGAAGCTATGCAGCATTGGAGTGATTGATTCCATATAAGTCTTGCCTTGGAAATCAGTGGCATTTTGTCAAGGGAAAAACATTTGCATATCTGCTTTGACTTTTGATGTCATGGTAGAAATTTTCAGAAAATTACATACACTCATATACATTAATTTCTTTTGCAGTACCAAGCCCTAGGCTAGACACTTCTCTGCATTTTAGTGTCTGTCCAGATCAGTTTAGTTAAAGAAAATAGCGTGAATTTTATGTTCACATTATTTTTCTTTTAAATCAGACATTTGAGTAGAATTGAAGGGAGAAGACTACACCAGTGAGTGCACTGTAGCAATGAAATTGGTTGAAAGGGATTATTTAGCATAATAAATAAGTCTAAGGTATCTAGGCGACACTTCCAGCACTGTGGAAAAGACTGTGAAGTACACTGTAGGTCTTTCCTCTACTTCCAAAATCCTTATATAAAATGACAAAAATAAAAAGTAAATGTGAACTTACAGTATGATTATTGTTATACTGCATGCAGCTTTTTGAATAGTTCTGGAGCTGTTCACTTTGTAATGAATAGTTTCACTTTGCCTCCAGTTTGCACATTTCCTATGACTATCTCTGCCATTTCTCTAGGGCAATGTCTTTAGATTCTTAAGCTGTAAATATCCCGTGGATTCCATAGACTACTTGGGCTTGTAGTGGCTGTAACTCATAATATAAGTACTCTCTGACTGATTTCTAGCCAAATTGTCTTACAGACCCTGCTGTCCCAAAAATGGGTGTCCCCTGTGTTTTCTCACTCCAGTAGTATCTCACTCTGTCTCAGTGAAGACATCTTTCATTAGAATAGTTGAAACACCATTCTTAGTAACTTTTCTTCTGTGAGGTTTCTGAAACTTGTTGATTCAGCTTGAGAGGTGAGATTTCTTTTCAGAAATGTGAGCTATCCCTTACTCTTTCTGCCTTCCACACCAATTACATGAAGAGATCTGTAGAAATAATCATGTGACAGGAAAAAGACAGAGGAGTACCATGGATTATTACCACAGCTTTAATGTCATATAGAAAGTAGCCTGACTTATATAATAGCTGCATAAACTTCACAAGGTTATTTTATTGTTTTTCTTGACAATTAAAAAATTACATTAATATTTTCCTTGTTTCAACCATGCTTTTTGGACCATATATATTTTCTTTCTTTTTCACCCCTAAGTTTACAGATATCTTCAGCACATTTTTTGCTGTTTTAGAAAACTACTATTCTCTTGCCATTTTTGAGGTTGAAAATATAGTTCTTTCTCATAAAAGAAGTTATAATTTGATATTACTAATATATCTGGTAAAAAATTCAGAAGATATCAAAAGAAAGCAGCCATAGAATTTAGATTGATATAGCTGGGTAAACAGTAGCAGAACAAGTGCTCTGTTTATCTGAAGTCAATAGTTGTTGTTTTCTTCCTTTACTGGCCATTGTAAGTATTTTTATTTTCATTGTTTTTGTAAACCAGCATTGGTGTTAATGCCACATGCCAAGTGACTTTTTCTGCTTAACAAAAAGTCCTCTAAGATGTCATACCAAACTTACAAGCCATTAAGAGAATATGCTGATGAAGTTTGTAATTGATTTACCACATTCATCAGTGTATTTCTTGACTTGATTGCCTGGTCTTAACTGAATTCTGAATAAGTTGGCTACTCATAATTATTTTAAAATTGCCCAGCCTTTACAGTTTTTTATTAAAAAATATCTTATAATAACCTTTAAGAATAATTTTTTAAATTACATTTTTTTTGTGGGAAGACTCATATGTCTTATTGCAAAAATTTCTCCATCAACCTGCCTTCTGATAGACATAACTTAATTCAAAATCTATGAATGCATGTTTTCCTTGCCAAGCAGAAACAGAAATGTCATGACATCCTTTCCCTTTTCCCAAGTTCACATTATCAATGCTTTCAAATGTTGTTGTCAAGCCTCATATTCTGAAAATTAGAAACTTCCTTCTCCCTTTTAAATTTTGTGTAGTGAATGGATAGTGCAAAAAAGAATGTAAAATCATAGAGTGAGTGTAGTGGGTTGCCCCAATAAATGTTTATATTTGTTTTGTTCTGTATCAAGGTTGCCCTTAAATAGATTTTTTCCCCTGTCTTTATACATAATTCTCTTATGCATACCATCAGCAACATTTTTCATTCTTAAACAATTTTCATTTACTCTGTAAGATCTGAAGTTCACTCTCAATGGTATTTGCATTGATTCTAGGATGTCTACTCTCTCTTATTGTTGTGAGTAACAGCCACCACTCCCTTTAAAAAAAATATTTTGTTCTTTCTTTCTTTTAAAATTTTATATATTGCTGAATAAAGTGGCATGCAGCCTGCTGTACAGGCTTCAGCACTGTGCGTGGAGCAACATTACAGCTTTGTCACATACTCAAGCATGTACAAAAAATGCTGTTTTTCTGTGGATGCCCACACTGGTGATTTTTCATCATGTTACTTACTGACAAATCTTGATTCTTCTCATCATATTAGAAATGCTCAAGGGGAAGTTACATGGTTCACATTTTAACTAATTTCTTACTGCATAGAACATTTAAGGGCTTCCATATTATGATTTCAGTTTTCTACAAGTACTTCATTCACTTATTTGCAATGAAGGAAAATGAATGTACTTCATTTTTAAGAAAAACTTTTTGCAACAGGAAAATTTTATGTAAAAACCCATGGGATACTTTTGCAATGTCTCTTAAAATATTCTTCATGTTTATTATGTTGCCATCATGAAATATTCCACCTTAAAATCAGATTATATTTTTGGAAATTTTGAATTAGGTTCAAAGGTAAGTCCTTGTGGTGTTTTACGAGATTGTGAAGGGATATCTATATGGATATTCTTAAATATTTCCCAAACCATAAACATATGCCTTCCCCCACCCTCAGAATACTCATCAGTGGCAGGGGAAACTCATAATGGAAATGGCCTGAAACTGCCTCAGAGGAAATTTAGGTTGGATATCAGGAGAAGATTTGTCGCCTAGAAGGTGTTTGTGCAGTGGAACAAGCTCCCCCAGGGAAGTGGTCACAGCACCAAGCCTGACAGAGTTTAAGAAGCATTTGGACAATGCTCTCAGACTCTTGGGGGGGTCCTGCGCAGAGCCATGATTTGTACTTGATTATTCTGGTGGGTCCCTTGCAACTCAGCACATTTTATGGTTCTATGAAAATGAAATATCTTAAAATTCTGTTTAAGAATCTTAATTTTTTGTGTCATCAGAGACACACATAGTTGTTTCATTTGTCTCATTGAATTATCCTTGTATTTTTAAAATGTTCAAACACACTGTTCCACAGGGAAATATGAAGGGGAAGGGGGAATGAAGGTATAAAAGTAAAGATTTTCTAGTGACAGAGAGGGCAAGCAGTAGAGAGGAAATATTAAAGTGAATGGATAGTGCAAAAAATAATCTAAAATCATGGAGTGAGTGTGGTGGGCTGCCCCCGCAAACATCTTCCTAGCTCTTCATTCACATTTGCAGAATGTGGACAAAAAAGAAAGGAGGTGAGAAGACTCATAGGTAGAGACAATGACATTTTAATAAGAAAAGTAAAAGCTGCATGGAAGTGAAAATGAGGGGTATCTGCCACTCCCCAGATGGTGTTGCTCCCTGAGAAGCAGGGCAAAAGCATAGTGGTTGTTTGGGAAGACAAATACCAGAACCACAAAGATCCCTCCTTCCTTGTCTCCCTGAACTTCCATTGCTGAGCAAGATGTCATATGGTGGGAGATAACGCATTGGCCAGATCTGGTCAGCTCTTTTGCTGTGTGCCCACCACTCTCAGTCTGCTCACAGGGAAGAAGGGAAAGAAGAGAAAGTCTTAATGCTGTGCAAACATGCGCTGTTCAGCAATAAACAAAACACAGGTGTGCTACCAACAGTGTTCTAACCATGAATGCAGAGCACCACACCCAAAAGGTTGCTGTGTAGAAATTAAATTTTATCCTGGCTGAATCCAGTACAATGATAATACAAACATCAGACAGAAACATTAATTTTATGAACTCTTTACATTTCAGAGTGAATTTGTTTAGTCAGTTGAATTACAGATTTTTTTTCCTTTTGTACAGAAAAATAGAAAGCACATACAGTGAAGCTTTCATTTCTCAGAAATTAATAAGTTTGTTACAGAAATGCATTTTGGAGCATGATAATCAAGTGTTTTGTTAAGACCAGTATCATTCTTTTGCTGGGAGTTGTGACCAAAAAGGAAATGAAAATTTGTTGCTAAACTCTGGGTTCCTAATTCACCTTATAACAACACCTGTTTGATTAATGTAAGTTTGTTTAAGCATAGTAAACCTCAACCACACATCTTGCCTGTCTTAAAAAATTTAGCCAGGAGGAGCCACCAGGAAGTAAAAAACTAGCTTGCTCTTTTAATTAAAAAGCTTACAAGGTGAAATTTAAAATTTAATGCCTTTTAGTGTTAATTTCCAGTACTTTCACTTTCTTTGCCATATGTTACTGTCAGGGTCTTGATTGCTACTACTTTTGCAGCTGTGGAGGTTTTCTCTTTCCTTTTGTTCAGCAGCCTGGTACTGCTGCTGATGCCGTGTGCTTGTTAAGGAGGTGTGCAAAATCTGAAGCAATTAGACAACCAATATAAGAAAAAATATTTAAAGCTTTTAATTAGCACAGAAGTTAAGTCACGTTTTTATGTTGCCATTGTTAGTGCGAATATCAGGAATGTGTGTCAAGCACAACTAGGAAGGGATCCTTTCCCTGTACTCAGTGGTGGTGTCCTTTAATTCTGTATTCAGTTTTTGACCTCTCACTACAAGAAGGACATTGAGGTGCTGGAGCAAGTTTGAAGAAGGTAATCAAAGCTGGGGAAGGATAGGGAGCACAAGTTCTATGAATGTTGCCAAAAACCAGCAAAAAAGCAAAATCCTTAAGATTATAATTTTTGAACCAGGGCATTCTTCATTGTGACACCAGTTACATAGGGGATAGCTCCATCTGTTTTAGGTGCTGAGTATGGAAAAAGCTTCTGTTTACATACTATATTTCACATACCTATTAATAGGTTTTCCCAGAAGAAACATATATGTGATGGTAATTTCCCCAAAGCCATTAACATATGTTCCATTTATCAAGACATAGCTTCTTCTGTCTTGAGAGTGTTGTTGGTTATCTCTGGTGGTCATGAACTGGTGTTATTTTTCCAAACACATGATGAACCGGTGTTATTTTTCCAAATTAGGAGAGAAGTTAACATATCTGGTCTAGTTAATTATTTTGTGAGTCCTTAGATCAATGAAGTGTAATTTCTTATTCCTCTCCTTGGTTAATGTTGATCATAACTTTTGACTGTGCAGCTCCATGGCCTAATGATTTTGCAAAATTATCATTGTATTAGCCCACTAGAGGCAAGCAATTCTTCACCTGGCAACATGAGGAGCAGTTGAAGAACCTAGGATTGTTGAGCCTGGAGAAAAGAAGGGACAGGAAGGGCCTTACTGCTTTCTACAGCTACCTTGAAAGGAGGTTGTAGTCAGATGAGAGTCCACCTCTTCTCCCAAGAAATAGAGTGACACAATGAGAAGAAGCAGCTTCAGATTGCACCAGAGAAAGTTAAGGTTTGAAATGAGAAAAAACTTCTTCCCTGAAATAGTGTTCAAACTTTGGAACAGAATGCCCACGGTATTGGTGGAATCACTGCCCCTGGAAGTGTTCAAAGGTGAACACTTTCAAAAGTGAATGGTTTAGTGATGACTACAAAGGAGTTAGTTAAACAGTTGAAATTAATGATTTTGGAGATCTTTTCCAACCTTAACCTTAACAATTCCGTGATTTTATGAATATATGAAGTGCAGGTTTTCAGGGTCACTCTGAGTTGTGCAGCTAAGGAGAAGAGGAATTTTTTGGACTCAGTTCTGGATTATATTTTGTTTTCAAACCATCTTGAATGAAAGGAAAACAAGTGCCCATATTTTATAGGATCTTTCAGATAAGAAAGTGGAACTTATCGTTCAGATAAGAGTGGAAATAGATTTAGTTTATAGCTTCTGCTAAAATAAATAATAGCTTTTGTTAAATGTACTGCAGAAACATTCAACTTAGAAAGATTAAGTAGGATAAACATGAGGCAGAAAACACTAGTATAAGGCCACTGGGAAGTCACTGAATATCACAGGCATAAAAATATATTTCTTGTATTTAAATTCTTCTGTTTATTTAAAAAAACCTGTTTCAACTCAAAAAGAGAAAATACATTCCTTTCAAAATCAGTGCTGATATAAAGCCTATTTAAAATGTTGTATGGTACACATTCTCTGATTTAATGCGGCACTTTGAGTCATTCTTTGTTTTATGTTTGCTGTCTTTTTTGAGTCTGTCTTATCTAAATATTTTGATATAGCAGGTTTTTATTATAACCAGTAGTTTATAATTATGAAGTATATGTTTCTTATTGACAAATGAGAACACATATTTTGGTTGAAGTTTTTAAAGAGGTATTGTTTCTGGGATGCCTTTCTAATTGCTTGTGAAATAACAATTCAAAGTGAAAGTGGACAGAGGAAAACAAAGATTTTCAAGAAAATTTCTTGTAACCTAACAGGTAGGAAGCAGACTACACACAGCAAAAGCCCAATATGCACATTCATTATTGATGTGATAATGTTATTTCGGTTGCCTTCAAATATGTTTCAGCCACCTAAACAGAAATCATCCTGTAGGTTGATTTAGGTTTTTGCAAAAAAAAAAAAAAAAAAAAAAAAATCAAGCAAACAGATGAATTAAAGGACAGATCTCTTTTGGCTATGTATATGGAAGAAATTTCAAGAGAAAGTAGCAAATCCTAAAGGTAAGGACAAAGATATTTTTCTCAAACTGGAAATTCCTATATGTTCTGTGATATAATGTATGAGGTGCCACCAAAGGTTAATAGTCATCTTTCACTCTGGGAAATCTTTCCCTGTTCTTCCAGCTCATTGTCCCAGCAAACAAATACAGACTATATGTGTGTTTTTGTAATCTGGTTTCTTGAGTCTAGCATGATTTTTTTTTGCTTTTTTGCTACATGGTTTAAGAAATGTCTGCAACATGGGACAAAATTATGTGACTTCATTAATTCCCTTCCTTTGACTGACACAAGGGATTGATGGCACTGATTCCAGCATAAGCAAAAAAGAGAGAGGTGGAAACAATGTTTGCCAGGAAAATAAATAATTCAGAAAGTAGGATAACTGAGCTGAAAAATCATAGTGAAGTTCTTGCTTGAAGAAAAGACAAATCTAAAAATCCCAAACAGGAATAGAGGTCCAAACTTTCAGGGTCCGAAGAGATAGAAAATGATATAATCTTTTAGTAATTAGCTGAAAATTAGCTCACAGTCTGTTGTGAGGCCTCTAACAGTCTTTATTCTTTTTAATAATGTTGGGAAAAGTGTGATAGGTTTATTTTTCCTATTACAGGCATCTTTTCCCCTACTTCTTCTTAATGGAATTAAAAAAAAGTAAAAATAATATTTAACTTTCAAACATTCTTTTTATGCATTTGTGGAATTTAAAATTAAATTAAGTAGGCCAGGCAGTTAACTCTTATAACTGGAGGAAGATTACACCAGCAAACGTCATTTAACCCCATCTTTAGGCAAAAAGGTTTTGCCCAAGCATCTGCCACTAAGTCTGTGGGTGCTGGTGTGTTGTGTAAGCAGAGAGCTTGTAAGACTGCTGCTCCACTCACACCTTTAGTACTGGTAGAGAATTTATCAGGTCTTCATAACATCAAGTGTAATCCTTGTTCGAAACAATATTCATTCTGCTGAGGAAATGGGGGTGAGGGGGAGGTGAGGGTGGGAAAGGCTGTAATTCTCAAGGAACTTTTATCTTGGTTCAATGTCTTTATCTTGATTGCGCAGCACAGACTTATTCCACCAGTGCTCTGTTTTTAGGTATTGAAATGGATGTAGCTCCATTTCAATCAGTGAAGCTGTGTAGGCTTTTAGCAGCTGAGGATTTGTATTGTATTCTAGTGCACCGAGTGAGATTTTTCATATGTTTCATTTCTGTAGACTCAGGCTTAATATGCTACATCTAGTGCCCTTCCATAACTCAGTGTTTTTGGTTTAAATACAGTGATATTGAGATATTTCCTTTCAAGTACCTTGATGCTGTGCCATCACTGACCCATAATTGCATGTTTATTTCTCAATTATGTAAATCTCTGCACTCTGACTGAGAAAGGTTTGATTTGCATAATTATTAGATTGCTATTTCTGAATAGCCATGAAGTGTCTATCAGATATTTTCATGTTAGACATTGGACTGTCATTCCCCTAAAGGACACAACTTTTTGTTTCCATGCCTACATGTTTCCATGTCTACTTCCACTTTGCTTCAGAAAATTAATGCAACTTATCTCCAAGAAGAAATCACTATTTTGGAAGAGGTAGAAGAAATAAAGACTTGACAGTAACCTAATCAATGAAGACTGACTGGGTGATGAATTAGTGTGTCCTTCTGTATAAGACCTGCCTTTCCTTTCTCTCTCATTCAGCCCCATGATCTCAGAGGATCATATTGTGCACTTAAAGAACACAGCTGGTTTGTACATCAAAAGCCTCAAACAAAAAAATCTCAAACCAAACAAATAAAAAGAGAAGTCATTAGAATAAAAGGAAATTAGTTTCAAGTAATGTTTAGGGCAACAGATTCTTATATATAGAATTAGAATTAACATCTCAATAAGGAAATGAATTCTGCGAAACCAAGAAACTGCAGGCTGGATGCTAGCTATCTGTGAATTGCAATAAAATCTTTTTATGGAAGCTGAAATACTCAATTTTGATACGATTAGAAATGTGTCTTACATTGTGAAAGCTACTGCAAAAATCTGATTTTAAAAGGCCGTGTGAATGGTTTATGCTTTTCCCTGATCCATCAAAGCATGGTAAAACTGATAGTTTTTTGTTACTCATGTAACACTGATTAAAAACCATTTATGATACTTTTGGTAATTTTTCTTTTAGATGGAACAGTGTATTTTTTTTTTCTATTAAAAATGCAATTAGGTAAGTCTTAGACCAGCAAAAACCTTGTTTAAAAGATAATCTGGTGTTTCTAGAACCTGCATTACATACAGCTTAAAGGAATTAATGAGAATGGACATCAAGAAAGAAAATACTGTAATGCTCAGACCGATGACATATGACACAGTAGTCAGATAAGCATGCTGAGCAATAAGATGTGTGTTGATCATGGTCATAAATTTTGTAGTATCATTTCATGACATTCTAATAGACAAGGAACTGAGGTCTTTTTGTTGAGAAGTTGACTGCCTATGTATACAAAATACATTGAAAATTTTGATACTGGTACTGATGTTCCAAATAATGAAAAATATTATATTAATCTGTAGAAAAATTACAGAATTTTTGCTAGCCAGTCAGCAACAGTAAAAAAAAAATTGCTGTCAGAGTCTCACAAACAGCCCTTTTGAATAATCTGTCATTTAATCATAGAGATCACAACATTCAGTTTAATATTATGTGACTCAAAACTTCTAGTTCTTTCCTATGGTGTTGGGATCTTGAGTTTATGAAGCTTAAAAATACGGTGTTGCTGTAATTGCATCTTGCACCGCCTCTGTTGGGAGACATTATTGCATGCACCTGGAAACAGGTCTGTGCATGTCATGATGATGAATGTCATCCTTTGCTAAACCTTTGGCCACCATAAAGGTCATATTTGATGGTCATAAACATATTTCCTGAGGTCCTGTCAGGTACTTGTTTTTTCATTCTGTAAGGATTTTTAAGGAGCATATTTTTGGCTTTTATTTAATTAATTTTTTAAAATTTTGTGACAATATATACCATTAACAGCAGGATAAGATTTCCACTGCAGTGAATTGAACAGGATGTTATTGCTGTTGTTATGCATGCCATATGTACAATTATACCACTTAGTTTAAATTTTAATTGAGAAGAGAGAGAGACTTGTTTGCAATTAGTAAGATTTTTTTTCTCCCTACTTTTTCTCAAGGCACGTGAGAGAACAGTTTACATTTATTCTGAGGCTGACACAAAATAAATATTTCCTGCTTTAATTATCATTTTTCCAGTGGAATTCATCCATAATATGAATTAGTTACTCCATAGGTGGCCCTCTTTTTAGAAAATATTTCCATATTTTTAAACTGGTAAAAAAGAAATTGAAGAAGAAAATGGGGTTTTTTAGCATTAAATATAATCACAAGTAAAGCTAGATTGTTTAGTTTTGCTTTTTGTTTTCCATCTGTTTTTTAAACTCTTCTATGCAATTTTCTTTATCGTGTGTCATCGGCTCCTATGTTCTCCATTGATGTGATGATGACACGGGGCCTTTATCAGCATGATGATTTGCCTTATTGTGTGCAGGATTCCCTTTGTACTTGTTTTGCATTCACGCAAGTGGGCTTGTGAATTCTGATGTCAGAGAGAACCACCACCTAAAACATAGCTTTTCAATTTATAGAGATTAAAAGAGTAACTCATTTTCAAAGTCAGGTAAATAAAAATTGATTTTAATATGTTCTATGCTTTAAACAATGGCCTTCAGATGCTAAGTATGAGAGCCTTATATCTTCCAGGGAAGATATATACAAGTAATAAGTTTGTCTATTGCTTTAAAGTGACACATTGTATAGTCCCTGTTTATGCTCTACTTAGTGTCTAATACATGAACAAAAAAAATTATGGTGTAAATATTGTTACAAAGTCATGGAGCTGAAGTATCTCATGTTTCTTTCTGGCACTGTGGCTGAAAGTAAGATGAATTTTTATAAGGTTTCAACTGAACCAAACAAATCTTGCTGGGTTATGAAATAATTCAAGTTAAGACAGAATAACACAGAGACTTAACAAAGTTAATTTTTTGCACAAAGAGGACCAAAATGTCTTCTGTACAATTGCCTTCCCAGCTTGTATTCTGAATGCTTTTGACTGCAGTTATGAAGGAGAAATTTTTTTTGCTGTTGATTCTAACATATAGTTTCTTATTTCTCTGCTATCTCCTGCTGTGTGTTCATTTAATAGGAAGATCAGAAGGTTAAAAAAGAAGTATTTATTCTCAGAAAAAAACCCAAAATTCATGACATGAAAAGAAAGAACTACTGAACCAACATAGGATACATACTAATGCCTTGGCATAAGAAGTGAAAGATAAAGAGCAAGTGATGTTAAGGGCCACAGATGACTGTGAAATTACCCAAGAGGACCAGGCTGCAACTAATTTCAAAAGCATGTGGTAGTAACTTGCTTTGTCAAAAATCTTCAAACTAAATGGTGGACTGTTGAGCCCTGAAGCTTGGTAAAAAACTCACTGCTGCAGGGGAATTGGCTTTGAAAAGTAATGGTATCTAAACAAATGTTTAATTTTTCATCACTTCTATCTAAGTTGTGTATGCTCCATCTATGGAAGTGTTGAAGGTGAGGTTGGATGGGGCTTTGAGCAACCTGGTCTACTGAAAGGTGTCCCTGCCCACAGCAGGGAAGTTAGAACCAAATGATCTTTAAGGTTCTTTCCAGCCCAAACCATTCTGTGATCCTATAAGCGTAGAATTCTTGTGCAGACCTATGAACCTGTATGTGACATGACATAGTTCATGATTAAATACAAAACTCTTAATTCTGTGTTATGGCAAACTTATTGTGTAACAACAAATCATCCAACTAACCAATGCATCAATGAAACTGACAAACAAACCAGCCAACCAACCAAAAAAAAAAAAAAAAAAAG